AGAGGTTTACCAGTATGCTTGCCTGCAGTATGAAATGTGACACGGAATTGCTGTACTGGGATTCAGTCATGTGGTTGCTACTGATTGCAGTGTGTAGGCGGGTGGGCAGTTGTCCATATTGCAGTGATACTGCTTTTTATTGACTGCTGATATGTGTTGCTATGGTACTTGTGGAATAGTACCATTCTGTGATTGTGCTGCATCTGGCTTTTTACATTGGGTTTTGGCAATAGCTGTCGTTATTTGGCTGATATTTAGCTTGATGTAATGAAAGCATACCCTCATACACGCTTTCACTGCATCAAGGCTTGACTATGCAAACTCCTTGCTCCATAGGCTGCAGATCATCCAGAACTCTGCAGCCCGTGTCCTCTCCCGCACCGGGCTCTGTGACCCTGTCACTCCCATCCTCGCCCGATTACTGGCTTCCCATCACACATAGGCTACAGTTCAAGATCCTGGTCCTTACCTTCAAAGCCCTCCATGGTCTTTCTCCCCCTATCGCTGCGACCTCCTAACCCCCTACTACCCTGCTCGCTCTCTCCGCTCAGCGGGCTCTGGCCTGCTTCATGTTCCCCGCCTCACTCACCCCACTATTGGCGGGCAGGCTTTCTGTCACTCTGCCACCCATCCTCTGTAACTCCAAATCGCAGTGCACTATACAAATGTAATTGGGTTGTTGCTGTTGCTGATATTTTAGTATGTGCAAAAGTAAACACTTGCACTTGATACAGCATTATTTTCTCCACCAAAATATAAAAATGTAAAAATCATTATTTAAAAAATGTATGAATTAGGAATATGCTATATCTTTCCAATGCACGGGAATTTACATGGGTAGGTGGGATGCATGGAGCTCTCAATTAGTTTGGATAAGCTTGTTAATGGGTTTCTGCATGTGTCAGACACCTGAGTGAACTAAAAGTGTTTATTAAAAAATGAATTTGGAATATGTCATGAGCAGTGCAATGGAATATAAATTTACATTTATGAAGCGCCTTTCATGTCAGGAGGACGTCTCAAACTGCTTAACTGTACTGGCTGGGTACAATACTGCTGTTTGAAAATAAATAAAATGTATTTTTTTCCGATCATACAATTAAGTATATTTAAAATTCACAAAGAATGAATAGACCTTCAAGTGATTATCTTTGAAAACTCATTTTAGTATCAAATAACACTTTTACTACTTTGTTATAGTCGTGGCACTTGACCAATTTACCAGTGTTACTGTCTGAGTTCAGAGGACACATTCAGTCAACAGATGTGCCTGGAAACATTTGGTTGCATGGTACCCATTATTACATTCTGGGCAGAATGCTACTAAGAATTTCATACCCATGTTGAGAATGCCTTCACACAATTTCCTCCCATACACCAGAAGTAATCAACTCATGTCTTGCAGTTCTACAGCATGGGGCAAGTCGTGAAAAGTGCTTCCAACCAATGTAAAACTATATTAGAAACTACGGCACTTTATTAGGCCTATCAATATTTCCATACTTGGCTGGAATGTTTATCCTCTCCAGGTTTTTACAATGTCCAGGAATTCCCTATGTTTATAAGTATTTTTACTCAGTTCATATCTCATTCCGTGCTATGTGATGCAGGTATTCTGATCTGGCTGTTAATGCTGAATCCCTCTTGCTCTCCAACAAATAAAGGAATAGCAATAAAGTATACAGGCTCTGTGGTGAGATGGCTTGATCGGTTGAACGGACATTTTGTTATGTTGTCATTTTTATGATTCAAAGAGAAATTATAGGATCACTATCACAGGGATATGACAGCCTCCAAAGGGTGAATATGAAAAGGTGAAGGTTTTGTATTAGTACAGGTATTAACTTCTTATTACTCATGCTGTGGAAGTAAGAATACTTACTTTACTTCCTTACTGTGTGAATGAGGCAATCTTAATTTTGGTGCCTTGGAACATCCTTTTAACGAAAGGGTTAAGGGGAAGTTTACCATCTAGATCTTTCGGTAAATTTAGTAGTTATCTTCAGTGTTACCAATGCAATGGTGTATAATGATATAAATATTGTACAATATAAATAAATATTTAAAAGAATACAAAATATTACAACTTTTATATACTGCACTCAGACTAGACTAGGAATCAGAATTTGCCTTTGGCATAATAATAATAATAATAATAATCCTTGCATTTGATATAGCACTTTTCACGTCTTCTAGACGTCCCAAAGCGTTTCACAGAATATACTGTAAAGTGAATTGACTGTATATTTGTGGGCGAACGCGGCAGCCAATTGCACAGAGCAATGTCCCACAAACAGTCGTAGATTGAAAATGACCAATTTATTATTGTTTTTTGTTTTTGGAGGGATTATTATTAGGCGTGTGGAGTAAGGAAACTTGCCCAAGGTTTCGCCCTGCCTGGAATTGAACTCAGGTCTCCGCTTGCAAAGCGAGTGCTCTAACCACTGAGCTACAGGACTCCACATCATCATCTCTGGTATTTTTTCCCAGCGATTCCTTCTTCAATTTCTCCCTGCCCTCCTTCTTTTCTGAAGGCATTTTGTCTTATCTTTCCTTCTACTGGGACATTGTTTCATAAGGACTATTTGTTTGACTATAATTCTTGACAATAGTCCGATATGTGGCAATTTCTAATGGGCTTCCTCTATAACAAAACCAGAAATATGTTCCATTGTCTGTCTACTTTTGGACTACAATTCTGCAATAAGTTGGTGTGACACAATTCTAGTTAGTGGAAGGAATCTTCACTCTTGTTAAGGAATCCCACTAGGAATCACTGCAGATTAGACTGCAGTGAATATAGGCTATTCAGCTGCAGGAGGTAGAGCTCAATCCTACTCTCATCCAGCATCCTTACATACTGACTTTTCACAAGGGATTTCTAGATAGCGATTAGAAGCTAGAACCCTTGCTGTTTTTTCCCCTTGTTAACCCAGAGGCACCCAGACAGCTGAGGTAAGCTAATTCAGCGCAGACTGACATTGAACCTGAGCCATCTGTTCTGTACTGGGCATTGTGTTTATCCATTGGGCCACTGGGGAAGGCACTTAGCTATCATCTTAGTACTGTAAGTGCATCTCTCCAACAGGATCTTTTGAAAATAGTTCTGAACATTCTCAATAGCTTTTCACATCCTTTTTACTTCCTTGTATGGAATACTTTTGTTGAGGAAGTGATAATGACATCACTTGGAGCAACTTGGAGTTGCTAACTGAGCCTCACAATCCAGAGTTGTTCAATTAATAATATACATGGCAAAAGATTAAGCAGCTTGGGTTAATGACTGTCAACCAAGCTCCCTCATATTGTCAGGCTTTGTGGTTTACTCCTACTCTGCAGTATAAATATACACTAGTTTTTACTTTAATTATATGATGATTCATTACAGATGAACCCCTGAGGAGAGATAATCAAGCCCAGACTCAACTTTTGGTATTGATATTGGACTGTGCGTATCAGATAACAGGGAGAATATTTTAAAGTGCAAATGAATACGAGGTGTCTAAGACGGGCGAGCCTCTATTTTTTGTTGGAAACCCTGTGCTTTTCTGGTGGAAGATTTTAGATGAGAAGTACAACTGAGAAAGGGGCCATCAATAGTGAATCAGCCTGCAGTTTTCTTCAGGCCAGACTGGCAAGTACAGTACATGGAGAGCCACGCAATTGCTTTATTGCATATTTTCTGGCTCAGCCTAAAAAGACCAGCAGTTCACATGGACCTTTTCTGCATTGCAGTACACTCAGTCATCGCTTTGTAATATTGAAGTGTTTTCAGTCTCAAACTGTGCTGTTTTATACTGAAAGCCATGGTAATTTAATTTTTAAAAAAAATTAACTGCTGAAGTTGGCCGTTCCATTCAAAGGATCCCCTTGGTATGTCAAGACAGGAAAGGACTTTACAGGAGTAGTTTATTAATGATTGCTGCAGTCCCTTGAATGTCCAGTCCAAAAAATACACAGCTTAGTAATAGTAGTTCTGAAACATCATTAATACTGTATGCGGTTATTTTGCTTTCATTTATTTTGGTTAGCTGGGTATCTGACATGCAGAAAGCCATTAACATGGGCGTATGAGTCTTCAAACCATACTCCTGATAGTTCCACGTATGCATAGTTAATTTTTCTCTGGTATGGAGTGTGCACCTTCTCCCCGGAAGGATGCACTGAATTTACCTAATATGAGAGAATTTACGTGCAGGTTGGCTCATGCGTGCACTGGTGTATTGCTCCATATTAACTAGCTAACATCAACAAGCCTAACATTGCGGAGACTAGTAAGCTTGTCATTGGGTTGGCCAGCTAAAACCACTCTTCCTGATAGCATTTGGGGTGCAAGTTTATCTGGAGCTCCTCCACATCCTGCTAATAAGACATATTGGCTGGTCTACCATCCACAGTACATGAAGTACTGTGGACCTGTCTATATTGGAATGCAGAATGTTGACTCAATGCTGATCTTGCCATTGCCAGGCATTTCACCTTGGAGCCAACACAACCTCAAAGGTTTGGAAAGATCTACACAAATAAATCTTCGATGTGCCATCCATCCTGACATTCTAGGGATCCAAGTCCAATCTTGTTTACCAGCTTAATCATTCCATCAGCTTAATACCGGTCGTCCTCTGAGGGGCCTTGACAAAGACTCTTGCCCGCTGTGACGCTGCCTCTACCTACATGACAGATGCTGAGCGACAGGTCAGTGTAGATTGGTGCTCTCTCTCCCTGAAGCTGCTTCCCTGTTTTGTCACCAATCCACCTCACCCGATTTGGGCTTGATCCCATAACCTAGTAACTCAGAGGGAAGAATACTACCAATTGAACCAAGCTGACACACAGATTGAAAATCTGTGAGTGAACTATGGGTAAATACTGTAATATAAGTGTTGTGGCTTGAGATGATGCATTTGGAACTACATAACTACTTTCCTGAAAATATAATATTTTTGTTAAAACTATTTTTGTTTATATAACAGAAAGCTGAATAAAGGGGTTAAGCTCACCTACGCAATCCACACTGAAGAGATTAAGAGAAGCAGAAACAGAGCCTTCATCCAGGGACTGGAGGCCTTGCAGCGCCCACCTCACTAAGGAGGTCTTGACGCTTTCTGGCAGGAAAGAAAGGAAGTAGATTGGAACATACATCATGAAGCGAAGTTTGCAAAGTACTGGTGTCATAAGCTTGCCTTGTGGTGACTCGGCCATACGTTCAATTGTTGGAAAAAGTAACACCGCTTTGAGAACCTGTGGAACCAGTGAGAAAAAAACTCATATAAGTAAAGCCTCTGGCACCGTATCAAATTTTGGAAATAGTGCCCTTATTTCTTCCTTCTTCTGAAGTAAACTGAAGTTTGTCAGATACATTAATAATCTTGCAGATAATTACAGGCTGCCTGAAATGCCTGAACTGGCTGGACTGGTAGCCTGGTAACATTGAAAGCTGATGTCAAATTCCAAAGAAAGATTGCTCATAACTTACTAATTTAGAAAGTATTGTAGTGCCACAGGAGACGGTGCACAGAAGCACAGGATTCTGGCAGCGTGTAATATTTCATGATCATGCTAAAAATGTTTTTTTTTAAAACTGCTGAAGTCTGTCCTGCAGCACTGTAACTTTCTGCACCTGCCTTTTCAAGCTACCGCTGGAAACATTTTATTTAATCTATGGAAATCACAAAAGGTTATACTTTTGATTTAACAGGACTTAACGGTACTGATTTGAACTTTCAAATTTGTTCCCAGCTAGTGGAAGAAGCGAATGTTGAACCTGACTTGAGATCCCAAGTCGCAAACCATTTTGTGATAGCCTGGTTGAGTTTGTTGAACTCTCACCGAGTCAGAAGATTGTGTGTTCGAGCTACACATTTGGACTTTGAGCTCACAATCTTGGCTGACACTCCATTGCATTGCTGGGGCAGGGCTTCATTGTTTGAGCTGACGTCCTTTGGATGAAATGATAAACCAAGATCCCATCTGCCTGTTCAAGTGCATGTTAAAAATCACATGGCTCTCCCGTTTTGCCCGTCTCCACTTTGTTGCCTCTAATGGTTTCTCCTCCAGCCCCTGCACTGTCACATCTGGAGTCCCCCAGGGCTCTGTCCTTGGCCCTCTCCTTTTTAATATCTACATGCTCCCCCTTGGTGACATCATCCACAGACATGGGGTCAACTTCCACATGTATGCAGATGACACCCAACTATTTCTGCCTCCATCCTCAATTCCAGGACCACTGCTGTCCTGACAGACTGCCTTCAGACATCAAGTCCTGATTGAGGGCAAATTTCCTACAGATGAATGTGAACAAGACTGAGGCCCTCCTGATTGGCTCACACCAGCGCCTCTGCACCTCAGGCTCTGGCAGCATCAACCTCCACGGTTGCACACTACAACTCGGCAAGCCAGTCAGGAACCTCGGTGTCTTGTTTCTCCCCCACATTCAAGCCATGACCCGTTCTGCCTTCCCTCACCTCCGTAACATCGCCCGACTCCGCACTTCCTCACCCATCAGGCCACTGAAGCTCTTGTTCATGCCTTCATCACCTCCAGGCTCGACTATGCAAACGTCCTGCTTGTCGGCCTTCCCAACTCCTCCCTCCACAGGCTGCAGATAATCCAGAACTCTACAGCCCGTGTCCTCTCCCGCACTAAACTCCGTGACCCCATCTCCCCCACTCTTGCCCGACTCCATTGGCTCCCTATCCTTCAGAGGATCCAGTTCAAGATCCTGGTCCTCACATACAAAGCCCTCCATGGCCTCGCCCCACCCTACCTCTGGACCTCTTAACCCCCTACCAACTCGTCCGTTCCCTCTGCTCAGCCGGCTCTGGCCTGCTCCACGTCCCCCGACCCACTGCCCCACCATTGGTGGGAGAGCCTTCAGCCACTCTGCTCCCAACCTCTGGAATTCCATGCCCCAATCACTCCGCCTCGCCCCCTCCTTAGCCTCCTTCAAGTTCCGCCTCAAGACCCTCCTCTTCGACATGCCATCGGCCACCCACCTTCCCCTCCCTACCCCCGCCCAACCCCAGCTCGGATCTGAAATGCTGTACTCTGTCCAGGGCCTTGGGACATCCTCCCGACATGAAAGGCGCTATACAAATGTAATCTTGTTGTTACTTTGTGGGACATTTTGATGTGCAAATTGGCTACTTTGTTTGCCGACGAATACACCTTTCAGCAATATACATAAGAAATGGGGTGGGGGTTTGGTGCAGGAGACATCTCAAAGTGCATCACAGGATTTACTGTGCAGTGTATGGACTATGTTGTAGGTGAACAAAGCATATAGTTTGCAGTCAGTATAAGGCACTATATCAATGTAAGCATTATTATCAATGTTTATCTACCTGTAGTGTCACTATTAATGAGAGTGAAGGGAGCTATTAAAAAGCGGTGTATAACTAATCATGAAAAATGATTTTGCTAACAGTTCTTATACATACTACAGTAGAGAGCTCAGCACTAATTGGCCAATAAGCAGGTAAAACCAAAAGTCTGAACCAAAATTATTTGCACCAGGTGTTATACCATCTCTATAATAACTCACAGTGCTATTCTTCTCTCCCTCTTTCCCAGGTCTCCCCGACAATACCAACCCCTTTTATCCCTCCTCCACACTGTTTCTCTCTCTGGTTTTCTTTTCTCTGGCCTCACTCTTACCTCTCAGATGTGATGGTCTATTGTGTATATAGTACTCTACTGTATGTTTTGCAGTTACAGTACTATATGTTTCCTTAGCTGCCTGTGTTCTAGTGGTTAATTCAACACTATTTTATTTGATGTGTGGTCAGTAACATATTGCCATATTTTGTCTGCTGAATCTGATGAATTTGCTAATACAGTCATGTTTGCTGTTAAACTGCTATTTATGTTTTGTAAGACACACAGTCTGTTACTGTCTTACAAAACATAAATAGCAGTTTAACAACAAACATGACTGCATTAGCAAATTCATCCGATTCAGCAGACAAAATATGGCAATATGTGAAACCTTAAAAAAAAGAAGCAAAATGAAAGTGGCTCCTTTCTTCAACAGGCCTGAGGAACCATCCTCTGTGAAAATTGCTGGTATGTGAAAGATCCCAAGACATTATTTGAAAAGAAAAGGGAGTTTTTCCTGGTGTCCTGGCCAACAATCCCCCAGATAAAGTTGGTCATTCTTTTCACAGCTGTTTGTGGGATATTGTTGTCCACAAATTGGATGCTGCCTTAGCTCACAAAACACACAGTCATTGAACTTTACAATAAAACATGTGAAGCGCTTTGAGACATCCTCCTGACATGAAAGGCACTATATCAAATGTAAAGATTATTATTATTATCCACAGAGCCTGACCACAATCTCTAATTGACGCAATATCATAGCTGATCGGCTTTCGAAAATGCTTAAACCTTAATGTAGAAAAGAAGGGTAGAGAAGGGATGGCGGAGCAGAGAAAGATTGGAGAATGCTTTGTGTATAAATATGTTGTATCTAAAAGCAGAAATGTGAACAATCTTTCAAAGAAGATTCCAAGAAATTAATTAAAAAGCAAAGTGTAAAATGTTGCTTAGAAACATGAAAATGTTATTGTAATCTCACACTCTTAATTTATTTCACACTTATGTTAGGGTGTTCCAGGATTATCTTAGGATCAAAATTATCTTACAATATTGCAGCACTTAATACATTCAGAATTATATTAACATATGAATAGCTCAACTGAAGTGAAGTCCATTATCAAAGGTTGAGGAGGAGAAGAGATTGGTTTGATTATTGATCATTCAATACATTTTCAGTACACATGAAAACATAAACAAAGTTCATCAAATAATAAGGACCATCTTCAGGGCCTCTTACTGTAATTCACACGAAGCTGTCAGTTCAGGGTTTTCTCCTGGGATGGAGGCTACAATAGGGTACTGTGTAATTTATGCAAGTAGCTAGAGTAATAGGGGTGCAGGCAGGGGCACTTATTTTGGTTCTTAAAACGACTAACCAGGAGAAAGAGCAACACTAAACTGTGTATATTTTGTGTTGAGTCCCCTGCTCAGCAGCTAATACCTATGAAAGTGACAGTAAGTGAGTGTTTTCTTTTATCATTGAAATGGTTGTCAATCTGTACTGAATAAATGCATCCGACAGAATGACTAAAATTTAAAGTTTTTAAAATTTGTAGCTAACCATGCAGTGTGGATCTTTTTAAACTCTTTGAAAAGCATTGACTGTGTACCTGCCAAATGTAACATATTTATGATCTTACTGATGTATTTCATTACAAGCTTTTTTAAACCTTTGTTGTGCTGACTATTATGTCAGGTAAAATCCTCCACATTTTTCAAAGATAGCTGTAATGATACATTTTAAGGCGAGCTACACTTCAATTTGACAGGATGTCATATGAATCAAAATTTCTCTTTCTGGTAACATCACTGAGGTCATGGCACTTCTCTACAATTACTCAACATCAAGATTCAAGACGTTCCAAGGGAGAGAGCAACGGCAGCAGGACTTGGTGATTCACTCCTTTCTCTGCCCTCTGCCTATCCTCTTCTCTCCTCATCTCCTCCTTTCTTTTCTTCCTTTTCCCACCCTCTCCTTTTCTCTCCCCGTCCCTTCTCCTAATCCTGCCCCCTCTCCTCTCCGCCTGCCCAATGTCCACGCCTTTTCTCTCCTCTCCCTGCACTTCCCCACTCCTTGCCCCTTCTCGAATGTGGGGACATTGGCAAATTAAATTACAATGATGTATTCATTTTAAAGACGCACAAGTACAAGGATGAAGTTATTGCAGAGATTTAAACAAAGAACAATGCCCCCCAAAATGGATCCCATCATTTTGAGTCAGCACATCGTAATTCTTAAAAGCCAAAAATGTTTTCTGCAAAGAGATGTGTTCAGATTTTTGCTGCTGCTCTGAAACACAGTTTAATACTCAAGCATTCAGTCATAAGTGGTAAGTTTACATAAGAGTGGTTCAACTTCTCCAATCAGAGCAGATCATTCTGTAAGATTCCAGATGTATTTAAACTATAACTCATAATTTAAGCCAATGAATGGCTCAATATAAATCTTTGACTCTCCCACATACATATAAAAAAGCAAAATACAGGAAGTGAATGAGGTGTGCAGATTTACAGCTCTGGAAGCTATTCACATCAATGAAGCAGTCAGACTCCTGGAACGATAATGTTCTTGGCAGGAAAGAAGCAGTTGATCTCCTGGAGGCAAAAGAATGTTCAATGTGGGATGTAGTTGAGTTTTGTTG